ACATCTTAAATTAACCCATTTCTATAAATCTATACTTTGCCATGTGGCTTGTGGCTTACCAGTATCTTTACATTTTGCTTCACATGGCGGCAGCTGGCAGCGTCTCCTCTGCTCTGTCTTTCTCCTTCCTCCTCTCTAGTTAGAATGTCCCACCTAACCCTATTCTGCCTCACCATTGGCCAAACAACTTTATTTAACAACCAATCAGAGGAACATATTTTCATAGCATACAAAAAGACATTCCCCCATCACTTTTACTCATTTTGTTTCTTCCTAAGTTTGAAATCATAGCTAGATTTCATATTCCCAGCACATCTAAAGTGAGCCACAGTCCAGTGCTCCAAGGCTACACACATAAAGCTATGGCTCTCCATGAGGTAAGAATACAGGCTGTAGCCCAGCTCTTCTATAAGACCTGGAGTGATTTGAGATATTTGATTGTCTTGGTTTCTCTTTGCTTTCAATGTATCCACTGTGTCACAGACACCACAACGGATTCAGTAGAAGCAACTAGTAGCAAGGAAGACATCATGGAGGACAGCATGGCAGAGCAAAGCTGCTCACCTTGCGGTGACCAGGAAGAAAAGAAGGAAGAAAGGGGTTTGAGATAAGCCCTAGAACATGCCCTAACTACCTTCTTGCTCCAACTAGGCCCTATCTCTAGACTTTCCTACCACCTACCAATAATGATACCAAATTCTGACCCAACAATAGATTAATCCACTGGTTAAGTCATAGCTTTTTTTGACTCAGTCACTTCTCACTGCTGAGATCAGTCCCTGGGGGCAAAGACACATGCGGTGTTCTAGTTTGCGTTCCTGTTGATGTAATAAACACCTTGACCAAAAACAACTGGGAGGAGAAAGAGTTTGTGCTTGCAGTTCCAGGTAACAGTCTGTCACTAAAGGAAGTCGAGGCAGGAATTCAAAGATGGCCCCTACAGCAGAAATCATGGAGGGATGCTGGCTACTGTCTTCCTCCCTTTGACTTGTTTAGCCTATTTTTTTTTAAAATAATGTTTTAGTTAGATCATTAAGAATGCCATATAAAAAAAAAAGAATGCCATATAGTTCATTTTGATCATATTCATCCCCCTCACCAACTTCTCCCAGATCAACTACCTTGCTATATCCAGAAGACCAGCTTCCTTAGACAGATTGTGCTTGCCTGTCTAGGGATGGTGCTGCCCACAGTGGACTGGGTCCTTGCACATCAATCATCAATCAAGACAATCTCTCACAGATATGCCCATAAGCCAATCTGATCGATGCACTTCTTCAAATGAGGTTCTTTCTTCCCAGATGCCTCAAGTCTGTGTCAAGTTGACAATCAAAACTAAGCAGTATATGAACATCCAAACCATAACAATATTTGAAAGAGAAAGTAGTTGTTGGATAAAGAAAAATGGTAAATATATATTTATACTTTTTATTTTGATTTGCAATATGCATCTCTGAACTGAATATTGCATTTTTAACATTCTATGTACTACAACATAATATACAGTGGCAAGAAGAGAAATAATAAAATAGAGAAAACAAAGGGTTCTATGGGAAAGATTTTTAGAAAAAATACAAAAACAAACTGGTTCTTTTTATAAGTTGCTAACATAAGCAACTTAATGTTTTGGGATGACAAAGGAGATCTTCTATTCCCACTTGACAATTTTTTTGCTATTTTTAATGAAGTATAATTATGCAACACTAAGTGGCACCTATTGTCCAGTGACAAAGTCAAGGCTTTTTGTGAAGATTTAGATCATCAGTCAGTCCGTACTCACATGATGCTTTTTGTTTGTTTGTTTGTGATACATACATATATATATATATATATATATATATATATATATATATATATATATATATATATATATATATTTCTTTTAAGGATGTTCCCATTGTCAACTGAACATATCCTTCTGCATTTGGCAGAAATATTCCCAAAATGTGAACAGAAGGAGAAATCTGCAATGGTGACTACCAGAAGACTAGCATACCTATGCACATACAAGCACATTTTTAATGTACTTGTGCTCAATCAAATGTTCCAGAATTACAAGAACCATTCAGGCTTTGGGAAGCAAGGGTCTCTACCATACTAAGTATGTGCCCTTATCTGTAAATTTACTAATATTTCTTCTCTGATTCATCAGCATTTGAAATTCAAAACTTCTTGTCTCCAGAACATTGCATTATCTTGATATTTAATGCCCTTTTAGTGTTTCTGTTCAAAACATAGTATTGTTTTAAGTCATACCACTCCTTTTTGAAACTTGTGTTTCTTTAAACATTGTTCAGCGTTATAAATAATAATTCAACTTAATAGGCATGAGTGTAGAGGGTACGAGGTCCTGGTGCACACAGATAAGCACTAGGGGAACCAGGAAAGTTAAACACTCAGGCTTACCTCTTCAGAGGAAGAAGATATTTACCTCTCTTCCACCCTGATTGCTGGAAAAGGTTGCAGTTGACAACCTGGTGATCTTTTGCTATCTGTGGGGCCAAGCTTCACCAGAATCCCTCAGACTGTTACGTTTGTTTATCCTAGATTCCCCCTGCCACCCTGAAAGACCTTGAGCATTGTGTCCCATCCCATCTTTATGAAGATGGCATGTGTGCCTTACAACAGCCTAGGTAGCTTCTGTGTTATCATAGGGCCAGTTGACCCTGATTCATACAGGCATTATGCTTACCTCAGTCATTCTCCCCTGACTCTTGAGCAATGTTTCTGAGTCAATAGAACCCATCTTTTGGAAGAGCTCATGTGTACTTTGTCAAGAGTTTGAATGTAAACATGACTTAAGCTTTGTGTGCACACAGGATTGAATTAATTGTCATCAGGATATGTTTTTCCAAAATTATGCTGTTCTTAGCTATGATTAAAATGTCAGATCCTAGACTTTGAACCACCCTGGGTGATATGTCTGGCTGACTGGATTTTCTTCTCGCCTCATGCTGATCATTTCTGTGGTGGCAGGCATGCTTGCAGGGAGCCCAGCACAGGAGACTAGCGAATGATAAAGATCTTTGCTGCTCTTCAAACTCCCCACTCCCCAGGCATTTGGGAAATCCCGCACAAGCAAATGGCACTTAGGAGTAAAGCTACAGTCACTAATGTCACCATGTGGCCTGTATTCCTAACATGACTTTAAATACTTTAGAGGAATTTAATTCCTGTAATAATCTGTTTAATTGTTCATGTATAAATCCTCATTATTTTACTTATGAGGAAACCGGAGTGCATGGACTTTGGTGGATGCCCCAAAGTCAAATAGAGAGTGAATGGTAAAACCAGTGTCTGTACTAAGCCAACTGGAGGCCAGAGCCCAGGCTCCCACCCAGTGTGGCAAAGCTCCACAATAAGAAATAAACCAGCAGTGTCTTCGAGGTGTGGCAAATTGAAATGATTGTATGAGTGACAGATCTCTAGTCAGGCAAGCACAGGCTTTTAAATAAACTTGGCAGGTGGATTTCCCCTAAGTGGCCACTGCCGCTGCCTCTGCCACCACCCCTTCTCCTGCTCCTTCTTCTCTTCCTTCCATCGTTGCTTCCATCCTTTTTCTCTTCTGCTGCCTCCTCCTCTTCCTCCCCTCCTCCTCTTCTCTTTTCTTCTTTTCGTTGGTTAAGGTTTTCATTTTAGCTCACATCTCAAGGCACAGTCAGTCCACCATGGTGCTGTGAAATCATGGCGGCAGGAATTTAAAACATAGGGTCTAATTGCATCCTCACTCAGGAATCAGAGAGATGTGCATGCTGCTCTTCAGCTGTTTGTTTTTTAATTTTCAAAGTATGTTTCTTTTATCCATTGACAATTTCATACATGCCCACAGTGTATCTTAATCATATCTATTCCTGTTTCCCTTTCTCCCATACCACCCCAAACATATTCCCTCCAACTTCCACATACTCTTTTATATTTATTTTATTGTAACTCACTCAGTCCAGTTAGTGCTGCCTGCTGGGACATTGACTGGTCTTGTTGACTTAGCCTTGTGTAGATCTTGTGCAAGTAATCATAACTCTAGTGATTTCACATGTGCAATGACCATGCCATGTGCAGAAGACAGAATTTCATGGGATTCCTGCCCTCTGGACCTTATAGTCCAGCCCCTTTCTCACACATCCTTGTTGAGCAAGAGAGTTGAAATAGATGTCTTATTTAGTGCTGAGCTACCAACAGTCAGTTATTCACAGCACGTTGACCAGAGCTATGAATTTCCATGTTGTTTTCCACAGCAAAAGTGACTCTCAGGCCAAGACTGAAAGTGGCTCTAATCTATGGGCATAAACATTGTGTTAAGAACAGCATGTATACAAGACTCCATGAATGCAATATCTGAAGGAAATAATCCAGATAATGCTGGTTAGGTTAAAACTAAATAGTGAATACATGGCTGTTCATTTCATTTGGTTCTTACTTGAAGTTTCCAGTGTTTGAAATATTGAATACTCAAAAGAGAAAGTGGAGATGGCATGCAGATACTTTTTTATGTTAATTTTTGCATAAAATGTATTCAACTGTCTAGTTGAATTTACTGATTCTTTGTAATATTGTAAGTAAATGTTTCCTATTGCTCAAGTGTCTTACATTTAGATGGAAGAGATTTAAATTGTGATTAAAGAAAGTGGGGGACATTTCTCAGAGAATGAATACCTTCAAAAGTCAGTGAAACTTAAGCATTTTTAAGAAAAGGAAATTATTCTGAAAAGAGGATAAATTGCTGAAATATTGGAGTGTATTCTGCCCTGCCAAACTGGCCTGCATACATATGTTTAAGAAGTAGCTAAAAGTGGTGCTTAATATATAATGCGATTAGCTTTTAAGAGATCATAAGACAGCAAGGTCTAATGAATTATATAGAAGTAGACAAATAGCATGACAGTAGAATTATTTAAGAAATTGCATTTCAGCATGGTACCCCATGATATAATTTCCTGGGGAGCAGTGCAGAGTCAGGCAAAAAACTCCATTAATATATAACAATATCCAGTCCAGTAACATTTGACAAATTCAGACAAAAAATTTTCATTACTTATCTTATTTAAAACAAGTAATTCCTTTTTAAAAGTATTTTTTCTTTTCATAATAGATTCAGTAATCTACCTTTTGTCATTTTTATATCTTCCTCTTTTTCTTTTTAGTGTAGATTCAGTGATCGACCCATTTATCCTATTATTCTTTATCTTTTTCTCAGAATAGATTCAGTGATCTATCTCATATCTATATTCTTTTCTTTCTTTTTCTTTTTTAAACAAAACCTCTGAATCTAATCTCCATGTTCAGCTTTTTTCCTGACCATTAACAATTAACAACTTGTAACCATATGAGAAATGATGGAGTCTCTAAGACAGAGGCAGTCAAGTCCTGTGTCCACACAGCTAGTGTATCCCAGCAGACTTGGGTGTAACTGCTGCTCTCACAGGCATCTCTTGCTTCTTAACCTACAGACTTCCCTTTCTAATCATCTCTGATGTCCAACTATTCCAGCTCTGCACCTTCCAACTGCTGCTCTTGATTTTCAGAAGTGACCTTTGCTTCTCTGTAAGGCTAAGTGGACTGGTTTGTTTACGACGACCCGCTCATTGGATTTTAGTGTTAACAGTTACAGGTTTTGGTACAGAGATTCTGATCATCAAGCCAATCATCGTTTTCCTGCCAACTTCTGAGAAGAGGATAGTCAGCATTTTTTTTTCAACTCTTTCCTCTCCACTTCACTTTAGTATTGTTACAAAACTTATCCCAGGGGGAAAAGGCCAGGAATGCGCTACACTTTAACTGTGATTATGCTGGATCTAAGGAGGGAGCCCCTTTGCACCCTGAAAAAAGAAAAAGTCATTGTCTCTGTCTAGTGACCTTGTCAGTTTTTTCTCTCCTGCTCCTGCTCCAATGTTTCATGTTTTAGTATTTTTTCCCCTAATGTTCCTCCTTTTATTCACTGTGTTTTGCTGCAATACATGTTCCTCCTTGGGTTAATTCAGATATTTTGCCCATCATTTATATGCACATATGACATCTGCCCAGCAGGTCACCCACAGATTGGGGAAGTCCTGTGACCTCTCCCTTCTTGATAAGAGATTATATAAGGTGCTTGATTTTGTTATTACATCCACTTCTGTTTGGGTCAAGACTGTGACATTTGGGGGTAGCTCATTGCTGTAATCATTCACTAGGATTGCACCTACCACAGATTTCACAATGCTCTGGGAGGTTATTCCACTTTTCTCAAGGTAACATTTAAAGCCTTTATTTTCAAAGTACAAATATTTTATTTTCTCACCACCAATCCCCAAACAGATAACACTCATACATTTGAATACCGGGAGCTGTCTGGATGCCGGCCAAGCACCAGTGTAAACAGCTGATAATCAATTTTCATTCTGGACAGTGTCTTTCATGTCAGTATGTGTTAGTTATCAGGCCATTTCTCTTTTAATTACCTGAGCAAAAAAGAGTGAGGATGCCATGTAGTTGGGAAGAAACTGTAACCAAACAGTGCAATACAGAAAGAATTGGGAATTAGATTGATATTGTTTGTGTTGCAGACTGAAATAAGGTCCCCATCCAGGCTAAGCACAAACTAACTGACCTTAAGCCCTGGAGTTAGAGTTCTTTGCCTTGATCATTGTTCAATGTGTTAAAGAAGACTTTTGAGCAATTCACCATTGAATGAACATTCCGAGAGGCTGAAAGTAGTTGATTGCCTAGAGCATAACAAACGGAACTGTTGAGTTTTTGTCTAGATTAAATAAGTACTTAAAAGGTGTTAGAAAGAAATGAGGAAATGCTGTGGAGTCCCTCTATCGGTCAGATTCAGCTCCATTTTCAATTACATTTATTTTATGAATCCATCTGTACAGAAAATAGATTCCCGCCTACCCCAAGTCAGTTATAATAAAGCTATCTAGAAGAAAAAACAAAAATGCTATGGTTTAGCAAAAATGAAAATTCTGAGAAAGTTTATAAAGCATAAATTATGCATACTATTTCCGAAATGAACAATTGTCTTGATTATTCATTGGTTCTAGCTTTGTTTTTGATGCTATGATTAAAAATACCCTCACAAAAAAGCAACTAAGGAAGAAAGGATTTATTTGACTTACAATTCCAGATTACAGTCAACTCTTGAGTGGAAGTTGAGGCAGAAACTTAAAAAACTTACACCCACCGTCAAGGGCAGAGAGGGGATAGATGCATGGGTTCTTGCTTGCCTGCTTGCTGCCTTCAGTAACTTCCTTTACTCTTTAACAGCTCAGGGCTCAGCCTAGGGAATGATGCTGCCTGTACTGTGTTGAGTCAATTAACAAACAGACATCCCCATGGGCCAACCCCAACCATATAATTCTTCAACGAAGACTCTAGTCACAGGACAGGTGATTCTAGGTTGTGGCAGGTTGACATTTAAAACAATCCTCACAACCACATGCAGTTCGATAGCTGTGATTACCATATTTAGATATAAAGTACACCTTTTTCCATTCATTATTATAAAAAGGTAAAAGATGCCTACCATGTAATAGTTACTATTTTAACTGCTCAGTTTACAATAGAGAAATAATTAAACAATACAGAATATATTATACAACACAGGCAGAGAGCAGTGTACACAGAAATAGGAATCTTCAATGATTTTTATTAGACTTTCCAAACTGTGACATAAAGTCTCATAACAATGAATGAGGCATTATAATTATATGTATTATGAAAAGAAAAAAAACAATATTTTTATTGTAACAGAATATTAGCATTCTTCTATACCGACTGAAGTTGAGGAGTCCTCTGGATCATTTCAAGTATTTTCAGCAAAAAGAAAATGAATATCCAGTAGAAATTGGTCAATACATATTCAATAATTTCTATAATTGTAATCACACTAGCTCCACAAAATAGGCCCAGCTGACCTCCAACATCAGCTGTAATAAAAATCCATAAAGAAATTACATGTTTTTCATTGAAAAGTAAACATTATTAGAGTATACATTATTTTAATCCAGTAAGTTAATCATGACTGATTTATGAATGTACATTAATCATATTATTTTAAAATTTAGTATAAATAAAGTAATACAAGCTAGTAATACCTGATAATAATATTCACACAAATCATCTTCAAAAGGAGAAGGTATAAAACTATGTTTCCAAAAATTTCATTTAGACTTTGGGAGATTTGAATGCTAAGTAAAATCTTAACTACAATGTAATGCGCACTCATGAAATGCAAAGCAGAACTGGAACTTGGTACCATATGGACCTGCAGGATTATGCTGTTTCTCAAGAAGACAATTTCCATGCAAATTGCATTGCTAGTGTCCTAATTGTATTTTGTTTTAAACATCTATTGTGGCTCATTTAACCAAAAAATATATTTAAAACACTGCATTTTAAAAATTGTTTTTAATTTACATTGGTATATACATTTACATTTGAACAACTTGTAAGTATGTAGTTCTAAGGCACACTGTATACTCATTTTTTTTATCTTCATCATTACCATCTCTAAAACCTTTCCACATTCCTCTGAAGAACTCCTTTGAAAAAATAATGCCCCAATTCCCTCCATCCACAAGACCCCAGCAATCACCCTTCTGTTTTTCCCCCTGTAAACATCCCTGCTGTAGCCCTGCCTTCTAAGGAAGATTACATTATTAATAGTCTGTGTGGACTCATCTTTAGGAAACTGATGTTTGTCAGATGTTTTATGGAAGTGTGTTTTCTACAGGAGTTTTAAAGAATTTGGAGACTTCCTCACAATCTCTCTCTCAGCTGATTCATGTGACTATGCTTATGCCATAATCTAATATTCATTTCTGACTCCTATGTGGCTTCCTTTAGTGTCTAACTGGATCTAGGAAATCCATGTTATAACAGCAGAAGCAGACAGTGTCTGTAAAAGAAATGACTCAGATTGTTTGCTTGGGACCTTTCTTACTCCTTGCTGGGAAGAAGAATTAATTGAATTAATTCAAATCTTGACTTTTCCAAAGATTTAAACCTCTTGAAATACTGTACAATAGTTACATAGTGATGGGGCAGCCTAAGGAGAGAGTAACTGTCAGTGAAACTCTGAGATACACATCAGTGGCTGCTTTGGCAAAATCCTGTGTGGTGGAGTCACTGGTGTTTCCTAGGGAGTATAAACACTTAATACCTGGTAGGAGGAAAGGACAATTGATTCTTCTTCCTCCACTGATAACCTAACCCCTGAACAGGAAATTAGTCCAATAGAAAATGGGAGTTGACGATGGAGTCAACACACTTACCGAGTAACTCAGGTACACTTACTGCCTTTTGCTGCTGTGTTATCTTATAGTTTAAGTCACTGTAGTTTATTTCAATGTTCACAAGATTCTCTCTGAGGAAGAAAACAGAATGAACATAGCTTACAGCTGTCACCACTACTTTTAGTCCCCATTTTAGATTCAGGAACTATTTAACATTGCATTCGATCCAGCGTGTATTAGCTCAGTTTTAATCCCTTCAGCATTATCTGAAAGGCACTCTTGCCATGATGCTATTTGGGGAGAAAGAAAGAAAGAAAGAACCCACCCCATCACGTTTCTGTGCTTCATTCTTGAGAAACTGAAGAAAGACAATACATGTAATCATCTAACTGTGGCCCATTATATTTACAAACTTCTGGATTATAATTTTAATTCAGTTCTTGACTTTTCCAAGTTGCCTAAATGATCCTGAAGAAGTAGGGTTGTTTCCTTGTTCAAGATTAGTAGAGAAGAGCTGAGCTCACAGGTTTTAGTGAGAAATTAAAACATGGACCAGAGTAGAAGCTGCCCTGTTGATAAATGCAATTTCCCACTTATTGTTTTCATACTTGAGCAATGACTTTATTTTTTTAATGTCCTCTGTAAACCTTCACACATGGCTAGGGTGGCTCAATACCACCTTAAAACCTCTAATCTTGATACAGTTGAGGTCCCCAACTCTCTATTCTCTCTACCAAGACCTCTACTTTGAATTCCAATCATGTATTTGATTGATTTTAGATAATTCCGCTCACTTGTCTAATAATTTAACACACTCCAACACATTCCAAGCCAAACTCTTGATATTTTCCATTTGGCACCCCTGAGCCGTCTAACAACAAATCTTGTTTGTGGAACCATCAGCATCTATGTAGAGTCCTATTGTTTCACACCCTCCTCTTCCCACTGTCACCCAAGCCATCATAATCTCTCCCTGGGAGTTTTGTTACAGACATCTGGCTAGAGATTATGCTTTCAATTTGAGTTATCCCACTTCAGCAAATACCTGCTGTTCTTCATACAATAACCGATAATTCTTCAACCTGCTGAATCAGGACACTCTGGCTGCACTCCCCTGACACTCACAGGGCACTCTACGGGAAACATCTGCATGGACGTTGGAGACCCAAGGTTGTAGAGCTTTGTTTACTTCTGCTCAAGGTCTTTCCCACTGACAGTCCATAAATCTGAAGACAAGTCTTTTTTTTTTTTCACTCTTGCTTCTCTAGATGGATTTTCCTTTGTCTTTTCTGTTCCAGCACCATTTTATATAACTTACATACTTATCATCCATTCCCACCACAATGGAAATACGTGCGATTAGGCCTGGCTTGTAAATTTTATCCATCCAGGAATCCTCATGCCTACCACAGCCTTTGAATCCAAACACCCAACACATGCTTATTATATAATTTGTTAAAATTGCAGCAACTTAAAAATGAAGCCAACAAACAACTGGCTAAATATTAACCTGTCTGTGCTGTTAACTGAAGTTGTAATCAATTACCACATGATTTTCAGATGGCAATAGGAATTTTAATTAAGAGTGGACCCTATTAGCAATGTTTCCTGAAACAAGGCATTCGCTAACATATCTAAGGAACATGGCTGCAAACCACTTTCCTTATTGTTAACAGTTTGGGGAATCAATACTCTCTAATATACTTAATTCAAAATGCACCATTAATATGTGTAGCTAATTTCCATTAGTCTAATGCTAGGTAACAGGAAAACATAAGATATTTACTTAGACAGATCATCAGCAGAAATGGTAATATTTACAAGTGATAAAACTGTTATCGAAATGGAAGAAGTTGTAATGTTGTCATGGGAATTCAGACATTTTAGTGACATTCTTGACTTCCTGTTCTCCATTGTTCTCTTAATTTGCATGCACACTGATAATATCTTGTTTATCTTTCCAAGCTAAATTTTAGTGATCATTTATGAAGACTATCCATCTGTGTTTTTCACAAGATGATAAATTCCTCTTCCATAAAAATATTGTGATGTTTATGCTGCTTCTCTCTGTCAGCTGACTCATCCATCCACATGAGTCTCTGAAATTGAAACTCAAGGTCGTAATGAAATGGTTCTATTGAGTCCAAGAACACTTGCTTATCTTAGGAAAAAGCATTATTATAATAAATAATAAAATAAAATCTGAGTTTTAATAACAGCAAAGAGATAAAAGAAAACTGATTATGTGTGTCTATATTGCTAACCTCTGTGGGGCTTGAGCATTAGTATGACATTAGAAGGAGTGATCTGGTTTTGCACAAAACAAACCATTTTGTGCAACTTTTATTTAAAAAAAATCCGATAAAATAATTTAAAACACCCACTTGAATAACCAATGCAATTTGATCAAATTCTGCCACAAATGAACTTGGACTCCCTGCTACATTGTGATCTGCCTCAGTTAAGCTCAACTTGCCCCTATCTTTATCTAGCTAGTTACATCTGGCTAGCTATATCTAGCTAGCTACATCTAGCTACCTGCATCTAGGATTCTGGCAACCCCTGTGTCTGGACACTTTTGCTGTGTTACTTGCTTTGTTATCCTGGTCATAGCTTCCACTAGTCAAAACCACACAAGCTCACTACCTGTTAATTAAGAGAGGATTATCAGTAATAATTAGTGAATTAGAAAAAGAAATCAATAATGCATATTTGTGTGGATCGTATTTCTGATTCACCAGTTAATCTCCTGTACTATGCCTACAGACCATACAAATAAAGTCATTCTGAACTCAGGAAACAGCAGAAAGTGCTCTTCTACATCAGACTTAAAGATAACGGCATAACACCACACTCAAAACAGCTCTCCATATTAAAAATGAACACCGATGTCTGTATTGGAGGCAGCATATTTAAAAAAGATAGGATTTTTGTGTCTGTCTTTTTATCTACTGTGTGTTAGAATTCATAACTCAAGAGGCCTGTCATGTTAAAAATGCTTTTTTTAAATTTTTTTAAATTTCTGATTTATAGAGATTATTTTATTGTCTATGCATTTACATGTTTTCAATTGGTTACCTCAAAACAGACCTATGCTTTGGGGACATTGACATGGCTTCCTGGTGCTCTGCTGAAGGTAAGTGGGGCCTACATGATTGGTCTTTCTGTGTGCTGTCTATGCCACCATGTACCAGTTACATTCAAAGATACCCAGCTAGCACCCTGCAGGCATGGAGAGAGAGCATGTTAAACAATCCACTATGCCGGGAAATGGGTCATCCTTAGAAAGGGGCAGGGCTTCCTTTCTTGTTCTCAATAATTCTGAAGGCTTGTTTTTCCCCAATGGAGTCAAGAATCTATATAAATATATGATTCCAAGTGGAACAACAGGGACAGGAATAAGACACTGGCGATTTGTCTGTTTTCATTTGTGTGTGTGGACTATTGGTATAAAGTTAGGAAAGTACAGACACAATGCCAGTCAACACTCTTCATCGACAAGTTTCAGCAGGTTTGCTTTGTAACAATTATAAATGATTTTTTTTGTAGATTCTTCTGGAGAATACAGCACTTGAAGTCCTTGTTGAGGGCAACAAGCTAGTATTTGTATTTTTGTTACCATACAGTAGTCCCAGATCCCTTCTGCTCACTATTCTTTTCTGATTGAGTTGTATTATAGAAAAGCATTGGCTTTTCATGTTCTTGGTCTATGCTATTCCCGTAAGTTTGCTACTAAAATATGGCAAAAAATATTTCAAATGGAGATCTGTTTGGTTTCTTTCTCAAAAAGACACTAAAATATCATTACAGCCTTTTTTTTTTGTAATTTGCAATAATTAACATAGTATGGCAGAGAGGAAACTAATTGGGCACTCAGGATTGGAAGTAGAATCCCACATCATTGAGACTTGGTGGGAAGAGACCGAGTCTTTTCATGTCATTGACTGCCTTGATAGGCAGTTATTTAAAATTCAATGGACTTTGATTCACTCTTGTAAAATGAAGATAATTTCTTTTTCACCTACTTTATATAGTTATTAGGAGTCTCAAAGCACAAAGTGTACAGATAAAGGCTTGTCATGTTTTAAGCACTAACTAATATTAGATATCATTTGTATTTTCTCCAGTTAGGGCAATGAAGGAATGATCATGAGCAAATAATTTCAGTCAGCATCATACGACTATGTTAAAAGCTAAAATAAGGAGCTAACAGAGGTGACCGTATTTGACTCTAAATTCCCATCGTTGTCATTATTAGCTGAACGACCTCCAAACTGCCTTCCTCGACTGACTACCATGTCATTTCCTGAAACTTCAAGTGTTCAGTAAGGAAAAATTAATGTTAATCATGAATAATTTATAAGACTAACCAGATTACCTGAGATATTCTTGGCTTTGATTCAATTTCTTGGCAAGAAATTTTAATGCTCTTTGACTTGGGAAAGTAGAATAAGAAACAGTAGCTGGGTATTCTGTTTCTTCACATGATACAGGGCAGCTAGAGTTGTGTGTTCCCATTGTGCACAGTCCCTTAAGCTCAATGTGGTCTGAAATGAAATCGAGAACAGTGCACTTAGACAAGATTCCACAATGGGGAGACAGGGCATTCTAAAATTCATCATTTCTTTTCCTGTGTTGAAAAAGACATAGTTAACTATGCCTATTACTTTAGTAAATCATGTTTATATTTTACTGTTAGTACAACCAACATGACAGAATATAAGACAGTTGTAATCCTTGATCCACTGAGTCACTGGAGTCAGATCTTCATTAGGAAAGAAATTCCTGGATGTTCCTGGACTATTTCCATATAAGATCAGCTGTTTGGACAGAACAGGATCGAGAGTGGTGTGTGCCATGCCACTGTGAGAGAAACCTGCAGATAGAATTCTGAAGGTCAATGGCTTAAACTATACTTACCTTTACACTTATCCTAAATTGGTGTGAAATAGTCTGTTGACATAAGGTTCCTTGTTTCCATGATTCTCTTAGCTTCTCAGGCACCACTGAGGTTCTCTGTCTACCAGGTTGTCACCTTTTAACTTTCACCTACACACTACTACACATTCCTATACCCACATACACACAATCCAACACACTCATATATTCACGCATGCTATTCTCATACAGATACTTTAATGAATGTTCTCTGACACACTTATACACTCATATACACTAATAAATAAAAATCAAGGCCATTTTGATAATATAGAGAGCAGAAGTTATAAACAACATAAAGATTTGAAAATAACCCCTGAGCTATTGTGGGGCACTCTGTTGTCCTTGCCTTTAACTTAGACAGAGGGAATTTCTTTGACTGTGTAATGTAGTGAGTGTTAACTAATTATTAAAAATTCTTTATATAGATTCTTTTCTTTTTCATATCTGGGATATCCATAGTGTTATTTCATGTCTTGTAACTAAATAATTTTAATATAAACCTTGAAAGTAAAAGAAAAAAATCAAGCTACTTACCAAGGATGGGAGATACACAGTTGTAGTGTTTTAGTAGATCACACTCAACACCATTTCCTTAAAAACAGAAGTGTAACATATAAAGAGTTTTCTTGAAGTAAAATTTTTCCATTAGAAAAGACGGTGAACCTTTGGAATGTGCACCTATCTGGAGAAGTAATTTGGGAGACTGATTCTGGACATTGTTATTTGAGTTCACTTGTGTCTTTATTTTTGAGGATGCAGTTGTTTGAATTCAGGACCTCAAATATTTTAAATACACCTCCAGCACTGAGCTATATATTGGCTCCAGATTTTTGATAAAATGAAAGCACATTTCTTTTCTATATCTTCTTCTCTAACCATCCTTCATACTGACATTTATTCTTAGGATAATAAACATGCAGACATATAAGAATCCAGAGAAAGGAACTGCTGAGAAGAACACTTTTTTGTGATTCTTTCACTTGTCTCCTCAAGTCAAGTCTTTATGTTTTTAAATACTTGTAAATTTTAATTTTACAATTGTTTCCACAATTTTCATCTTGTTTTAGCATGTTCATAATCTTATAATGTAGGAATTATCATTTTCCAGATGAAGAGCTAAGCCTCAGAAAATGGCTTGTCCTAGACCATACAGTTAGAAAGGCCTTGGAATACTCTATCTTCTATCCTGTTTTCTCTTTATATTAACATAGTATTGTTTGTTATTAATGTATAAAGTTATATATAGGTATATCTTTACGCACATTGATAAACTGCCTTTAGGGAAGCAGTTCTGAACCTATGCGTTGCAGTCTTTTTGGCAAACCTCCATCTCCAGAAATATTTACAATAAAATTCATAACAGTTGTGAAGTTACTGTTATGAAGTAGCAATAAAAATCATTCTAAGGTTGGGGTCACCACAACATGAGGAGCGAAATTAAAGTGTCACAGCATTAGGAAGGTTGAAAATCACTGATCTAGAGGTTGGATTAGGCCATGTAAGTGCCAAAATTTGTTATGCACCTGCTGTAGATCTTGAGACAAAGAAGAAAAATCAATTTACAGTTTATTCCCTGAGCTAATTTTTTTTTAAAAACTGGCCTTTAAATGTAGCTGGATGTTTGTTTATTGGTTTAACACAAGTAGTCTCTGAGGTTAGCCATATGTTTACTCAATAGTCTTCAAAATCTAAAGGAGAGTGTGCTCTGAGAACTGTAGACAGTTTTCAGACTGCTTGTGAGGCTATAGGGGAGGACTGTGTCCCAAGTTCAAAAAGTTTAAAAGAAGATGAGGAGGACGGGAAAGAGGAGGAGGAAGAGAAAAAGAGGGGGAGAGAGGGGGCCTAGGGAGAGAAAGGAAGAGAGGAAGTAGGAATAACGTGCTAGTCCAGACTTTCTTTTTTCCTTACTGTTTATTGAAATAACAACATTTGTGAGCCTTTATCGAGATAAAAAGATAGAAGTAGATAGAAAGACAGAAGGAGAAACACACACACACACACACACAGAGGGAAGGAGTGAAGGAGAAAGAGGAGAGGGAGGGAGGGAGGGAGAGAGACAGAGAGACAGAGATAGAGACACAGAGAGAGAGACAGACAGACAGAGAGAGAGAGACAGAGAAAGAGACAGAAAGAGAACACGAGGGGTTTAGAGTGGCCACAGTTGTATTCTCTCCATTTCTGTTTCTCTAATAGCCCACATCTCTTTATGGACATGGTAAGGAGAGGCAACAGAATAAATATAAATTAAATTGTTCATCATTTCTATAGATCTTATCTATGTTTTCTATTACCTGTTGCATCCTCATAAGGACCCTGCTCTGGTGGACACAATTCTCCCCATTTTATAGTAAGCACAGAGAGGTGTGACATCAGCTAGATGTGAAAGTCTGAAATCAGACCCAAGTTTTGGCCTCTGCTTAATGATTACCTGAGGGATCCCTGGTCCTGGAAATACCTGAGACTGTGTGCAAAGAAGCCTAGAAGTTTCCTTCACAGTCACAAGGCAAGGACTTTCCCAACAGTGAAATCTTTAGAGTCTGTAGTGCTATATGTATACATGATCCAATTTTTAATTTCAGGTTACAAAACTCTTTGTCATTCATTCAATTTAAGGTACTTAAGAACATCCCATTTTAACCCTCTAAGAAAGAATTGAGGACCTAGATTGATGGCATCATTTTCTTTCCCAGAAAACTCTGTGATGCTTCCATGCTTTCAAATGGACCAACTGAGATAAAGATTTGGCAAGTGGGCCATTTTCCAGCATAGACTTTCACGAGAATGGAATACTATCCAAGGACACACTAGCTTCCTATGCTTCCAGTTAGGCAGTGTGGGGAGAAGTTGTCAGTCTTTACCTGGAAGCAGAAAGGGCAAACATCCGCACTGCTGCTGGATGTGCTGGGCTTTGCACTCCTTCAAACAACTGTAAGTGTTGTAGGTGGTGAAGTCCTTCAACTTGATGTTAGGATTGCACTCTCCCCACGGGTATTCCTGGTGGACTGTCTAAAGACAGCAGATGCCACAGTTAGGACACAGACTTCTGCCATTTTCCATTAAAGGATGCTGTACACTTTTACTTATCTCAAAGTTTTAAATTTTTTTCAATACACTAAATTTACCCATTTGTGCACAACGTTATCTTGAAAGTCCCTGAAAGCCACTATAACAGCAGCCTTTAAATCCTCAACCTAAATGTTAATGAAAACATCAAATAGACTAACAATTCTAAAAATTAGTTCATATGAGGAAAAAAAAATTTATGCAAATGCTATATCATCATTTTACTCAGGTTATTCACAAACCATCATCAACCAATGTGAAAAAAATTAATCCTTTATTGAGCAACTGTTAATTAACATGCAACAAGTACTTTGCTTTCTTTTTGTTACTTGGCTTTTAAACGTCGTAACTCTGGAAACGAAAAGCTGTCCACTCGCCAAGAGTACAGGGAATGGATGCAAATTCAGAAAGTTAATTAAGGAAGTTCCTGAGTTAAAGGCAGTCTTGTGGAAGCCTGCCACACTGGCTTGTCTCCATGGTTGCTGCTCTCCCACTTTTTTTTAAAATTTTTTGCAGATGGCTTCACAGAGGAAACATTCAATTCTGAAGCCTACTTTGTTGTCCTGTTCTTAATGATATCTGAAGTTGCCTTGGATTTAATAGGCTTCCCCACGCTCACTTAGGTTGTACATAGGAATCTACTGCCTTTTGCCACAGAGGAGTCTCCATATTAAGGAAAAGCATCTGAAATGAAGTGTTGGCCTTTCCAGCAGTAGCTTAAAAACATAGGAGATAAGGGTCTCTCACAAAAAAGGTTATTTGTGTGTTTAATGCATTCATTACCAGCTAATCCCTCTCTCTCTCTCTCTCTCTCTCTCTCTCTGTCTCTCTCTCTGTCTCTCTCTCTCTCTCTCTCTCTCTCTCTCTCTCTCTCTCTCTCTCTCTCTCTCTCTCTCTCTCTCTCTCTCTCTCTGTGCATCTCCCAAGTTCTTACCTTCAGCTGGCGCATGGTCACCCGGGCGTGCATCCCCACAGGAGAAGATAAACCTAAGCCATCAAACTGTGGCTCCTTCTTGGGTGAGTGAATAACAAAGATGATCCCAGCATCAGCAAAACCAGGCATGGGATTATCAGTAAATTCCTCCTGAAGGGAACACATATACACACACAGAAAATAGTTCTACAAGAGTTCAAGGTTTGCTTTTTTTTTTTTTTTTTTTTTTTTCTAAGACTCCTCTGTGGCAAAAGGCAGTAGATTCCTATGTCAAGGTTTGCTTTTATCAATGCATGGTGTATTTACTTCCTAAAGTCGGTTATACCTGATTAGGTTTCAATCTATTGTTGTGTGAGAAGTGTGGAAATTTCGTATCTAAAACACGCTTTTCCAGGCTGAATCCCAGGGAGTTAGTTGCTCGTGAGTAAATCCACAAGCACAGTGGTGTCAGCTGATGACCTCACTTCCTGTCAATCTCTTCTCCTAGGTGCCTTTCAGAAGTTCCTACTTGGCTCTTCTTTTTTCACTGCAGGTGTCTTTGTAATTAAACCTTGTTTAAAATTCAAATGTCTTCTTCAATAATTGTGAAATTTCACACTATTTCTTTAACAGCTTTTTAAAATATATAAATCTATGTCAGGTAAAGATACTAACATGTAAATTGCTTGTGATGCTGTAGTTTCAGGATATAAGGAAAAGGTTGAATGTGTGCATATATTCTTCGGTGAATCAGTTCACTATTATGTAATTATCCTTGGGGAGCAAGCTTTAAATTCCTGTAACTCAGAGGCCCATTTGTCCTGGACTTGTTAAAACCTTCTAAAATTGCCGGGCGGTGGTGGCGCACGCCTTTAATCCCAGCACTCGGGAGGCAGAGCCAGGTGGATCTCTGTGAGTTCGAGGCCAGCCTGGTCTCCAAAGTGAGTTCCAGGAAAGGCGCAAAGCTACACAGAGAAACCCTGTCTCGAAAAACCAAAAAAAAAAAAAAAAAAAAAAAACCTTCTAAAAAGCATTGACTAGGTTGGTTTAGAGAAATATCTAGGTGCCATTTGCTTACAGAACATTACATTACATTTGTAGGTTTAAATTGTATCATACAAATATTTGGGTTTTTCCACTATTAAAAATTCATAATTAATGTTTAAACTAATCCTAATGCTATTATCTAAATAGTTTAAAATTGGTCAAATATTTTCTGAGTGCAGGGTTGTGTTTGGCATAAGTACAATTTTTTGAGCGAGACACAGGAGGAAGTTATGAAGATGATATTAACAGAAGTTCTTTAAAAGCAATCATGACCTCGTTCAAGTTTATGGAGGAGTAAGTCATTTGCTGTGATTCAGATGAGGTGAACATCTTTCTCTACCATTCATTGTTTGTCTTTCAATACTTACTCTACCAGCATGGCAGAGTACTAATCTATACATCCTTGGCAGCAGAGGGCAGGTATGGAAGCGATTCATTCAGCACCTTTGAAGTCACAGCAATGCAATTCTTAGATGTTGAATCACCTGAGTCTTAGGTTCAAATACAACTTTCCTAGGCCAGTTACAAATAGCAACCCCAAACAAAAGCAAACCAATGAACAATGAGGCTTAGTTTAAGTACACTTATGATTCTTACACAGTAGGGTCTTCTCTTCCTGTCAGAGAAGAATTCTATGACTAATCAATGTATACATCGAGTTCTTCTCAAAATGCATTTTCATATTCAGATTAAAATCCTACCACAATTGCATTTTTTTTTTTTTTTTTTTTTTTGGTTTTTCGAGACAGGGTTTCTCTGTGTAGCTTTGCGCCTTTCCTGGTACTCGCTTTGGAGACCAGGCTGGCCTCGAACTCACAGAGATCCACCTGGCTCTGCCTCCCGAGTGCTGGGATTAAAGGCGTGCGCCACCACCGCCCGGCCACAATTGCATTTTTAATGATAGTGTCATTAGCTATAGACATGGCATGACAGAACTCTCCATTTCTCTATTCTACTGCATAAATGATCCCTGGTTAATAGAAAGTACTAGAACAGCAAACATTGTCTATTTTAAGGATCTGATTTCTAAAGCTCCAAGACAACAGTAATCCACAATTCATTGGGTATTAGAGTAAGTTGGCAAAGGGTGAAATAAATCAACTGGTGGAATTTATTTGGCAGAGAAAAACATTTTTACTAAAAATGGAGTCCTGTGCACTTGTTGCTTTTCAACCCAGACTAGAATGAAGTGAAGTGGATACCTGGTGGACATTGAAGAGCAGCTTTAAGCCTCTTCCAGACAAACTCACTTTATTCTTGCTTTGGATATTCTCACCATGGTTAAAAGTAAAGCAATTTCCATATTCAGTAAAAACGTGTTTGAAATCCTCCAATATGAAAATAAACCAAATAGAACACAATCAGTGGAGAACTTTTCCATGCCCCAAAGTTCCAATCACTCTAGCATTTTTTCTATACTTGCAAATGTTTATATGAGGAGGCTTATATCAGAAAGATTTGATAGTCCAGCAATTTATGCATGTATATGATCAACAGTTTTCACTTGTATAATGGACATTTAGGTCAATTTGCATGTTATTTTTAAATGAGACATTTTCATGTATAATTAAGCATGCTTCTTTACAACAATTAAAAATAAGACTTTACTTTTTAAATAATGATTCATGAAAACATATTTTTAGGCTTTGGTGAATGGCTTCCACATCCCTCCTTTGACAAGTCACAGCTCCAATCATATGTTCTCTGCGGAGCAGTCACATTCTGCTTCCTGTTGACCTCTTATGATAACTGGTCCCATCCTCCGCAGAGGTATGCATGTTACCTAAGCTGGAATAATCTGCATACCCCGACCTCTTGCCTCAGCAACTGTTTTAGGAACTGATGATGAGCCTACCATTAGATTCTCACCTGGATTCTTGAGTGCTACTGTGTCACTGTGAGAAAATTACTGGTGGCTGAAGTTTTGGGTCTCTATGGGGAGAGAGCATACCAAAAGCAGGCAGGAAAAGTTAAGAGACAGGGAAGAAGAATCAAAGAAAGGAGGCTCGTTGGTGTAGCGTTTTCTAAAGCCAGTCCTGCTTTTATATTACCCACTTAACTAAACCAATTTATATATTTTACTACACAGATTACTAGAATTGGGTTTCTGGAATATATATATATATATAAAATCTTGCTAGTGAAATTAAATGTATTAGTAAATACAAAGCAAGGAAGAAGAGCCCCTTCAGGTTAGAGTTCAAGCCATTCCTGCCGCTTGTCCTCATCCCTGTCAACTCTCAGGAGTATCTACTGTGTGCCTCTCAGAATGCTAAGTATCTCGTGTGACTATGAATTTGATGTTCACTTTGAATCTCTCTCATAGCATAGGGAATTGGATATGTAGGAAATAAAGGATTGGTCATGCTGTGTTTTGCCTTAGACTGATTGTATAAGTAATTGAAACAGAATTTTAGGCATATTCTGTGTGGATATAAAGCTCACTACATGTATTGTGCATGTGACATATGATCTTTAGTTGAAAACTAGAAGACTTATTTCTGTGTATTCTCATAAAGTGCTGCTATCTTGAAAACAGTGGGATAGCTGCTTAAGGAAAACAGAAATGCTCTCTTCAAATATGGTGTTGAAAGATAAGGAAAAAATTACAGTATCCTATGGTGTTAAGCTCTATTACTTTAGAAAAAAAGACTATGCTTCAAAGAAGGCCTTCAAAACTTTGGTCATCTAGCGTTTTTCTCTAGTCACCCCCCCATGTGTGTGTGTGTGTGTGTGTGTGCACCCTGCTTGCACAGGCATGTGCTCATGCAGTATATGCACATGTGTGATGCCGAAGGGCAACTCTGAGTGCCCTGAACTGACACTTTCCACCTTATTTCCTGGAACTCGGCTGGTATCCAGCCCCGACAAGCCTCCTGCCTCTGCTGCCTGCAAGCACACAGCACTACTAGCTTTGCAAGGCTGCTGGATCTGAACTCAGATCACCGCGCCTGTGCAGCAAGTTATGCTCTTCCCCTCAGCCATCCCTCCAACCCCTTAGATCACTTCTTGAAAAAAAGAAATTTGCCCCCCATGGACCCCACATCTCCTGCTGTTGCAAAGCAGACGTGAGCAGAGCTGATGAAATGTACTTGTATAAACAGGTTGATTTCTCAAGGGAGCAATTTTATTTGAGCATAAAATGGAACAAAACCATAGTCTACTGTCTTGATTAGATTTGGAGAAATTTTCAACCATTACCTTTGGACCACATGGTTTTCCAAAAAAGTCACAGTGCAACAAAGTGTGCTGATTGAGAAAAAAACCATTATTCTTGACAAATTCTGTAATGCTGAAGTTTTGGTGACTTGTGACAAAATCTAAGGTCTCTGGAGATTCTGTGTGGTTGCCACTAGTTTCCTGAAGGCGGAGGACTTTGGAAACTACATCCCACAAGAAGACAATGAAGCCAAACTTTGATACAGCCTCTGTTTGGAATCTATAAGTAGGAATGAAGACATTGGTTAAAATGATAAAACTTTTCTAGAAGACAGAAACAAGGCAAAGCGACATTCATAAAGGATTATATTTGTTAAGCAATTTCCATTATGCATCATGTTTAGATTTTTATTCACATCCCTTACATTCTTTCAAAATACAGTTAGTGATTTCATATTTTGATCCTAAAAACCCTTCAGTGAGCAGTTTTCCTCTCTTCTCCTTGTCTGACAGCACAGAATGGAATGGGTGGTCCGTTCTGGAGAGGGTTCCATGTCACCCAGTACATGGTTTGCATGTCATTCTAGAATCTTCTTATGTTCTAGACTTTGTCATTCCTTTCTTTGAGAAACTTATTAAATTTGCTTTGACTGATCTATAAAGGTAGAAGTTAGATATTTATTAGAGGGATAAGATGTGAATATACTCTGTAGTGTTTATGCAAGTTGAGCATGCCTGGGTTACTTTGTTGAACATAACACTCTCCAACTCTATCCTCAATACAAACAAAAAGCTTTCAATTTTAATGCAGAATATGAGGATTTTTTTTGCACATTTGCCACAGCTTTGTTATCCATTAATCAACTAATGACCTTTTGTATTATTTCTGTTCTCAAGTACTGAATGATGCTGTAATTATTGTTGTCATGTACATGCTTGTTTTGCATATTGACTTTCTTTTCTTTGGATAAGTGGCCAATAGTAGGCTTTCTGGATAATGAGAAGTTCTATATGTAGTTTATTGAGGAAGCAAAGTCCTACTTTCCACATGGCTGTAATAACTTAACTCCTACCAATAGTAGACAAAGGTTACTCTTCCCCCACACCCTCAAAAACAATTCTTATTGGTTGTCTTTTCAGAAATAGCCATTCTCACATGAAGGGTGTTGATAGCTCGTGGTGGTCCTGACCTAGATTTTATTTTCAATTTTCCTTTTGAAATGGGGGGGATAATTATTTAATTAGTAGTTTTTGTTGAGCTATTTTCAAACCAATTATCAGATAGTTATACTGAACATGATTAGTGCTTTTAGTATATTTTCCCATTTTTAATATTTACAGATATCATCCTTGTGGTGATAATAATCTTGTTATATTATTTACTTATTTAAATTTTTTGAGAACTTCATACATCAGCTCTATATCTATATCACTCCCATGCCTTCCTCTACCCCTCAAAATCTTCCTGTGTCTACCTCCAAAATTTATAATATCTTCTTTAATTATTATTGATGTGTGTGTGTGAGTCCACGTAATTTTCTCTATATGTTTTGTCTTTAAAGTTTTCTTTCTAGTACAAGTCCATATTCAATCTTTTCCCAATGAATATAAAACAGATTCAAAACAAGCAAGCACAAACTCCAAGCTAATACTATGTGATGCTCCCTAATATGTCAAAGATTACAATTGTTTTAATGATTAGCATCTAAGATAGTCTAATGTCTTACTCCACCATCTTTGGTCCATTCATGGCCAGCCTTACATCCTGATCCTGCAAACATCCTACTTTGAGACTCTGAGACAATTTTCTCACTCCGAGATAGTCCTGACATTCTTCTAATTTTATTACGTTTCAACACCTCCCTTTTCTCAGTCAAAAGCATTTCTGGAAACTATTTTCCCAAAGTTAGTAACTAATAGATTTTGGTGAGAGGCACAGTTTTCATCCTGAATTAATGGTCACACTACAATTTGATACACTATAGATGCCATGAGGCAATGCCTCTCATGGATTCTTTTCAAAATGACTATACAGTGAAATTAAAGAATTGGCCCTCCTGTGGGTGGTATAAATATGGGAATAAAGTTATTAAGAAAGCCTTCAGCTTAAAATGTTCTCATAAAATATATTGTTATGCTAAAGAAGGTTGAGCCAATACTCGTAATTTCATCACATTAAATGATATAAATAAAGCCTAGCAATATTAGAAACAAGGAAATGAAGTTTTTATAAGATACATAGAACCAAAATGTCTTGCACTGAGTTTATTTTTAACTTTGACACACACTTAAAAAAAAATCTATTCTTTAAGAAAAGTTGTTGATATCTGAGAATAGTGGACAAATGTACTGTTCTTGTCTTCCATGCATGGGACTGGATTCAGAAGTTGAAACTGCAAGACAAGGTTTGTGCCGTGCTTCCACAACGTTTGCCTTAATGTTTTATGAAACATATCCTGGCAAGAATCATATTTATATGGATGTATATATATGTATGCTATCTATTGAGCCTAACATATAAAGAATATATAATAAAATATAACAAAATATATTGACTTCTTTAAGCAATCTAATACCTGGAAAACAATTGCTATATATATTCTTACACACACTAGTGGTTCAACTCACTTCCTAAAATTATATGCCCCAAATTAAAAAGTTTCACTTGATGCCTGAATTAATGCCAGGTTCTGCATTTCAATGAGTTTCGCCAATATATCTTTACCAATAATGTTAGAGAAGAAATCTGGAGAGGAATGACTTTTGGCTTCCCCTTTGAGCAGATTGTAACATCTTACTGGTACTCTCATTAACTGACAGAATCTTTAACACATTTCATTAAAAATCCTTTAGTCTGCATGCACACACATACACACATGCATACATACATGTGCACACACATGCGTATATACACATGTTTACACATGCATGCACACACACATTTACAAGGATTTGGTGAAAATAAATGATCACAATGATTGTAAAGAGGAAGAGACAGAAGAACATGGGTGGTGTGTTTTGGAACACTAGTTAAGCACATGAACTCTTACACATAAGCCACTGTCTTTAGTTTTAGTAGAAGAAAAAGAAATGTAGAGTTTTGGCAAAATGTAATGGAAATTTGTGGTGAATTCTATAATAATGATATTTAGCAGGAATTGGATACAGAGCTATTTATAATTTACTAGATTAGTTCCAAATAAAAAGGTCATGAACAATAGTTCATTTCCCAGAATCTATCATACAACTTAATTTTTATGACTCTGTGCCAAATGTCCTTTATGAGATTAGCTCTTCTTGTCTGCACATTGCTTTCTGTAAAGAAACTTTTCAAAATTGAAATTAATGGATATTTTTAAGAAGCTGCAAGTGAAGCAGATTGGCAACTCCAACATGCATCTATTAAGTTTAATATACAAAGACTATATTGAGTGTGGCATTGAGTACACTGAACACTAATGCACTAAGAGGCTGATAGAGATGAAATCATTGACAGTTTTGCATTACTGTTTACACATAAATGCAATGTTACTATTAAATCCCACAACTGATAAGAATGTATGTCCTTTTCCAAAAATATAAGAGTATTATTATATGACTTTTTTCTTAAACTTTTGTTCTTTCTTTTCATCTTCAGCATTTTTAAACACATATTATTTTCTGCTTCAAAACACAACTGTCAGCGGGAAGAATTGTGTCAGTAAGGCTAGGATAGGGTAAGCCCGTGTTTGAGCTGTAATCCTCACACACACGGGCCCCCAGGGAATTATTGAAAAATTTTGTTCCCTTCTTAGGTATCATGAATTCTTCAGCAACATTTTTAGCTATCCATCTCCTACCGATGAGATAGTTCACCACAGAAGAGTGTTGTAGCATGACCTCTGACTCCTTTCTTCCAGCAGACACACGGGGATCGAAGAGATGCATAGTATCCCCAGCTACCATGCCACACTCATCGAAAATTTAACCTCGGCCACATGGACCTGGGTAGAGATAGTGTGTTGTCAACCTGAATTTCCCAGGACACATTGCAATCCCTGGCTGCGAGGTGAGGCACAGGAGCTTTGGTTTTCTTGCCTAAATCCACCAAAAGGCCAACTTTTGTCATGCTGAGACAGAAGAGGATGGGAAAGGAGGTACCCTGTCCAAGCTGTCTAGAACTTCACTATCGGTTCTGACATTCAGTTAGTAAATACTCCTGAAGGATAGTGTCTACTTAGGTATATTTCCTTCAGACTGAACAACTGAACAGTTCAGTTTCTGAAAATGATTTTGCCCACAGTTGATTCTCTAGGAACAGTGACTTTGGATCTCCTCACATGGTCCTTCCAGTGTTTCAGAGTCTTTCAATCCAGTGTACCTGCAAGCAAGCCTTGCCTTTGTCACAATGCATGCCATTTCAGTAGTGTGAGGCAGTGGATACTGAGGATCTTTTCTCTTGTGAGAGGGTTGACTTATCTTTGCCTTCTGACACCTAAGTGTATAAGTTGAAGCTTTAAAATGTTAGTGGTCACACAAACCCCTTATAACATGTACAATGTGTCTAGTACTTGTTCTTGAATTGCATCAGAAACAAGAGACAACATTACTAGAACTGATGTCACAGAAAATACATAAACTGGTTGAATAAATTACATATCTATCTATAGCTATCTATCTACTCTTTCCCCCTTACACACACCATACACACACACACACACACACACACACACACAGAGAGAGAGAGAGAGAGAGAGAGAGAGAGAGAGAGAGAGAGAGAGAGAGAGAGAGAGAGAATGAAGGGATCTATCCATGATTAATTCATTAATAACCCATGAAAAAGAGTTATTAATAAAGTCATAAAGTCTTACAAAGGTACTTTAATACTCCAGTGAAATTCCTAGATATGCTCTTTCAAGCGTCACCACGGACAGTCCCAAGGCTTTGTTTGTGAAGGCCTCACAGGAGGAAGCTGTCCTAACTGCTGACCTGGTTCAATGACTGCGACTTTCTGCAGTGGGCTACAGTCTGGAGCTTGAGAGTGGCCACGGAGAACGTGGCCGAGTGTAAAGGTCCCCAGAGCTCAGGGCCCTAGGCAACTAACCAGGAAGCATACCTTTGGCTCTCTAGCTAGCCCCACCTCTACTAAGACAGATATCCTGTCATATTATCAACCAAACCTCGTATCTCCAGGTACTGTGCATTAGTTCTCTTGTTAGTTCCTCCTCATCTCCTCCTTGGAACCTCCAGTTATGTCCAAAATACTCCACATAGCATACTTGGGTATATGTCTGTATTCTGTTACTAATTACCCAATTACATAAAGATTCCCCTCTCTCATTAGCATACTTAAGTTCAGGGAATCACATTATTTTACATCTACTTAACCATAGAGTTTGATACTTAACCAGCATGCTAATGCACAAGGGAAGCGGGGGGAATGAATGAATGGATGAAGAAATTAGCAAGTTTCTTTCTTTCCTTATCTTTGTTCTTTAAGTTCAATTTTAAAGTGTCAATGCTTTTACCTATGTCAAATACTGCATCAGAACACCTTATGTTCATTATCCAAATCAGTCCATACTAAAATTAATTAAAAGTCACAACTAAAGCAATGATTCTTACCTATTCAAGTTACAGAACGTCACGGCTGGGAACTCGATCTTCTCCACATACTGAACCTCTATAGATGTGGTGGTCGGCCACGCGAAATAATTGACCAAGCGACTGTAGACTTGCCACACCAAGAGGGAGACAGAGCCCAGCACCACAGACAGCCAGAGCGCCTTTCGAACCCTGCTCTGGTTCTGGGCAATGTTATAAATACCATGAAAGGAAGTGGAGACGGCAAACTCACGGTCAAACTTCTTCCGTTCAGCAGGAGATGGCAGTGGTCTCGTTGAGAGGTAATGCTTTATCTTTCCTAAGAGTCCTAGTGCCCACAAAATAGACAAAAACAAGTCAATGTGTTAGAAAGACTTAAAACTATTCATCAAAAACTACAATGCACAAATGGCTAAGCAGGCTACTTCGTTACATGCGATTCACAAAGGCCCCAGAATCGTTTGCATTGGGTGATTTATTTAGGAATCAGTAAAAGTGCCGACAAGACAAGGTGAACCTATTGATAATCTGCTAATGTCGTCTGGTATCAGCTCTGATTAGGGAAGAGGCATTGATGACAGGCGCATATTGGTGTGTTGTGGAGGCCAACTTCCACTGAGTTGTTTGTGACAGCTCAACTTTTAAAAATAGTCCTAGATTACCCTTTCTCCCTGAAGAATCACAAAGTTCCTTCGTATGGGTTAGGCTTATTCTCTGGAGAGTTGTAAGTGAAACTACCAGCAATCAGTTCCTCAGCTAATCTTTGTCACAGTCTTGTAACTTTTTTTGTGTTGTGACTTCCATGCATTGAATGCTTTTTACACAACTGCTTTATCCCTTGGTTGGCTAATCAGAATGTTTACAGTTCAGTGGTATGATCAGCTTCCCACCTGTTTAGAAAATGAACTTGTCCTTTTGAGATTCCCACAATAATGATTATTGATATTAGTTGGTGGAGATAAATGAGAGATTCATTAAAATATATTTGATAATATATTAAATAGCCATCCAAAATTTTCCTTGAGTTAATATCATTTTGACCTGGTAATAGAAGATGCAAAGCTTCTCTGACAAGTTAAGAGGATGAGGATCACTTGCAACTGGAGGATTCAACTTCTGGTCTAGGTCTCCTCTCTTGTAACCTAGGCAACTTTAGGCAAGTTTCTCAATCTCCTTCTTCTTCTTCTATTAACAGACAGCAATAACATCTGCCTGATGACTTTTCATGTTAGTATAATGCCTCTCATGATACATTACATAGACCATAAGGCACACTCAACAGTATTATGTATTTTTATGTTTTATTTTCTAATAGTGATGCAGCAAATGGTTAAATATTCAGAGTTTTAAGAAATATTTTCAAGTTCTCATTTAAGAAACGAGACCTAGGACAAGTGAGATGGCTAGCTGGCTGGCTCTTAGCGGGTAAGGGCGCTTGCTGCGCAAGTCTGATGACCTGAGTTATATCTTTGGAACCCACATAAAGGCAGAAGGAGAAAAGTAGCTACACATTTGTCCTCTGATCTCTATATATGTGCAGTGGCACCCAGGCACCCATCCCATATCTTACACACACACACACACACACACACACACACACACACACACACACACACACACACACATATACACACACACTACTAATAAAAATAACAACACAAATCTCAAAAAATGAGGTCTTAAAAGCCTACTAAACCTCACAATAAAGTTAGTTAAGATTTTAAATCTTTGCTCCAATTCAATAGATATCACTTTTGTGAACTATGCAGTATTAATTTTTTTCTAAAATGCTCCAATCTTTACTTATCATTAAGTTAGTTTTTAATATCTTGCTAGTCTCTAATCAGTTAAGATTTTTTTTCTCAGTTTGGAATAACTAATGATATAAATGGTATTTATTTACATTTTCTAAAGTTTCCCATTTCATTCACAGTACATGGACACTTAGAAATATTGTTACAATATTAAAACTATTACAAACTTTGAAGTCATGTTTATATCAATATCATTTGCTGGAATTGTACCATAATCTATAGCAGCATCACATGATCTTTCTTTTATATCAGGTTAACCAGCACATATAAAAACATCTGGCAAAGTTTCAGGTAAAATCAGAAGGCTGAAAAAAACCTTATTGATACTATTATCAAAATAATTATAATTGTTTATTATATTATTTATAATTTTTATTACTTAATCATTGCTTAGAGGCATTTATGAAGACTTTACCAGAATTGAAATACCAACTCAGCCGCTGGGCAACTGGCAATTTCTACCTTTCCTACTGTTAGTGAGAAGAGTGATCTAGAGGGAAGTACCTAGCCAGGCGAAGGGCTGCTGGCTGCAAACAGTACTATGAACAATACAGTTCAGGTTTACCTTCAGACACCAGATCCTACCATAAAGGTATACTCATCGACGGCTGTGTGAACCTCATCAAGGCATTTTCTGCTATTTGTTAGAAATGTAGAAGTTTTTCAATAAGTATTTCAGATGAAATGTGAAGCTGTGGGGCGACACATATCTGCTTAGAAGCTCAGAGTCTGCAGTGTAGGGACAGAGGGTGGAGTTGGAGGATTTCCTACCTTTCTCAGCATGTGTCTTTGATTTCTCAGTATGTTCCATTGTTTTTTGCTCTCAGTGATCCCAAGCCCTCTGGGTGCATCCAATTTTTATCAATAACAATATTCATTTTGGGCCCTTTATATAAAATACAGCAGTTAAGGTTGTAAAATGTGGGAGCAATTTAAATATTTGTGTTGCTATGTTAAGCCTCATAAAGCACTTAATCTGTAAATCAAAAACCATTGACAGAACCAGCTATGGGCATTTATAGACTGGCAAGAGGCCACTGTAGATTGGAAACCAGAAAACATCACTGAGAACCCATTTTCTAAGGAAGAAAAACTGTGACCTCACAGGGGCCACTGATTCCACTGGTGGATGCTCAGGTAGCAGTCTTTTCACATTTTACTTCTACCTTCAGCTTTATACAAATCAAGTAGAGGTGTGTGTGTGTGTGTGTGTGTGTGTGTGTGTGTGTGTGTGTGTGTAGAAGTATCTTTGTTTTGAAACTCCAATAAGAGATAAAGCGGAATGACCAGTGGATATAGTAAAATAACAGAACTACAAAAGATACTAACTAAAGAAGAAATGCAACTGAAATAGTATAAATTTGCCAAGTCACAGAGACCAGCTTTTCCATATTAACACTTTTGAGAACTTACCTTTTACTTTTATTAGTAAACGTCAATATGAGTTCGCATGTACAAATGCTGCCATCTGTTGACCAAATCCAGTAATTACAGTATCTCTGCTAGAGCCTGTTGGCATTGTAACGGTGATATTTCACAAGCATCTATTCACTTCAACGTAATCACATTGGACATCTACTTGGAAACTCCAGTAGCATAAGTTGAAACTGGGCTTCTATGGAGGCAAGATAAGAATCCTCGGGTGATGGAAGGGCAGGGACTTGGGTGACTTTCTCCACTCAGTTCCATGAGGAATCGGGTGAAATCTTGTGAGATGAATTTCTCAGCGAAAAATCTCTTCTTCTGGGTTAAACGCAGACTGGGATGCAGTCGCAGATTTCAGGTCCTCCTGACAGTAAGAAGCCATTCACGCTTCCCTTGTCTTAGGACCTAATTATTCCTACGATCTTTCTGAAGAATGTGCAGCAGAGCCGTCTGGTGTACCTATTGGAGAATCAAGGAAGCCTGCTTGCCAGATGTGTGCCGCTTGAGCTGCTAAAGGAAGTGTCTTCAGTTGCTAGGTTGGTTCGAAAGCTCGTTCTCCCCGGCTAGGAGTAAGGACAGCAAGAATATGGGGCTTCTTGGGAAGGAAAAGCTTGCAACAAAAAAGCAAGAGGAAGAAAGAGTCGCCAAGCTACATTCTGTCTGCTTCACAACCTAACCTAAGGCTCAGGCATGAACGCGAATTTGCGTCAACTCCACTTTCTGGTTTTCATTTTCTACTCACTTCCCTTTTTCTAAGCCAAAACGTATTGCTATTTCACAGGCACATGTGAGTAAAGACATAAAAGGAAAGCGAGAGTCCCCACGTCCTGTCAATTTCCTAGCTTATGACAAAGGAAAGAAAGCTGAACTGTGTGCCACAAATGCATTGGGACGTGTGTGCCTCTTTCCTATAATATTAATAGACAACATTTGCTCTTTGTCACACTGAGAACAGTAATCCCCCAGCTCTCCTGTACATTGAAATGGGCTTCCCAACATCGCTTCCCTTGGCAGTTTTTCTTTTATCAAGAAGTCACTCCTGGCCCCTTTTTGTTAGTGACTGAATTCAATTTGAATTTCAACTTCTGTGTCTAGTTACGGTCCCCTCTCTGTTTTTCTTCACTTTTTTTGAAATCAAAACCCCGGATCCTCCTCACAGATAGACCTTGTTCTTTTGTTACCTGCCTTTGTTCACTTTCTAAGATCTCTAACTAAAGATAAACGTAGAGGCTCACACTTCTTTCTCTGGTTGTGACAGCTGTTTGGAACACGGGCATCTGACAGAAGATAGATTTGCAAGCCTTCCTTTCCCTGCCCCATCCCACTTCTCACATATGAACATGAAGCTAGGGAATCATTTAGCAAGAACTGAGAGAATTCTGAGTTATCATTTCCTTCCCCCGTTGTGCGGGGCTTGCAGCAACCAACAGCAAACGATGACTTATTAATACTGACAAATGAAACAAAGCTAGAGAAAAAGTGCTGGACAGAAGAGTAAACAGCCAAACCTAGCTGACCTTTCCCTGAGATTCTGGGCATGAGCGATAATTGAAATCAATAAGGACCGTCTAGAGGACTGTGTTTACTCTGGCCCCGGCCCACCTATGGCGTTACTTATTTCGTTATTGAAGAATATTTTCATTAATTCTATCTTTGAAATATTGACATTTTCTTTAATTAAAAATTTAGTTCTATTGAGTTGGCACGTACAGCACAGTATTGAAAGATCTTGGGCTACTGCTCCTTTCTGTCATTGTGAGTGTGGTGATGGGACCCAGGTCCCTGCTCAAGTGAAGGGATTGTTGGACTACCGAGTCTGACACTCTGCCATTTGCCTCCCACTTTGCCATTTTGTTATGATGCAAAATTTTACGTTTGATTTTCTCTTCGGGAGAATGCATGACCATACCTAGAGGTGACTTTTCCTCATCCTTCCCTCCTCTCTCTCCTCCCCCACCGTCTTCCTTCTTTTTATGTTCAGACCAGGAATATTTTTTTTAATTTTACCTAAAATAGATGTTTGTTTGTTTTTTTTCTCGATAACTTTGAAAAATAAACTCCCAAGTTATCATATGTTTAAGGGAATAAGTAATTTAATAGTTTATTGGTTTGGGTCTGAAATAAGATAAAACTGAAACTGACAGAACCTAGTGCTATTTAGGCTGCAAGTACAGGAGATGTTTTGTTACAGGATTTTAGTTTTGTCTTCAGATTACATAAAGACCATTTTGAATTAGGATGACTGATTCTTTTAAAAGCTTGAATTTCATGTTGGTAACAAATGTTCTTTTGGTAGCATGTTTAATATTGATACTGGTTGCTGTTCTTCAAGTGACTGACTGATAATTTTTCTTTCATTGTTTCAGAATTTAATAAATGCATATAATGTTTTTGGTTAGATCCATTCCTTACTTCCTCAGTTCCGAAGTTTCTGGAACTTGAGTTTTATCTTTGTAACTGGGACTGGACCAGTGTAAATACACTCCTCACCATCTTTTTCTCCCAACTTCATGTATTCTTTTTTAAACCCATCAAATCCACTGAGTGCTGTCAGTACGTGCATGCGTATAGGACTGTTTGTCAGAGCAGGAGTAACCTATCAGGGACTGCATCCTGAAGAGAACTGACTCTCCCTCATCCAGCATCCATAAGTTGCAAATAGTTCCTCGGCTGGCGTGGGGCTTCATGAGCCCCTCCCTCATCTATGTTGGGACTTGGGCTGGCTTACTCTTTTATAGGTCTTTTGCATGCACCCATAGCTGTCTGGAAGTTCATGTGGGCATTCAGTTTTATCTTTATAGGACACTAGTGAGAAGCAATTATTCAATATGTCATATCTACTTAAATCCACATATCTGAAGTGAAAACATATAATGTAGAGAGTGACCTCAGGATTCAAAAGCACCCCATATGGCCAGCACAAGCCTCAGTCATTTAACAGAAGAGGCAGCTGAGAATCAGGGGGAGAGAATAAAGGGCCTATGAAGATGGACATTTAGCCTGTTTAGTTTGCTATTTATTGTGCTTATTAGAAAAATAGATAGCAGGCAGGCAGCAGTCTGCAAATACTTGATGAATGGTTACCCGATTTGTCCCAGCCTTGTACTATTTTTATTTTTTTGTCAGAAGAAAATTCCTGGAAGATTTTCAGCATTTTATTTTGAAAAATGAAACATGGTAAAATGATTTAAAACTGGCTTATTACAGGAGTGGATTATAGGCACAGACGAGTTAAAACATGTCAGGTTCAGAGGCGCTTCATGTGGAGAAAGATCTGGAAACTTTCACAAAGACAAAGCACCTAGGTAATAAGAAGGTGGAAGATTTTAACACATTTTCTATAAACACTCACAGTCAGACTCCATCCTTAAATATAAATGGCCTAAAAAATTAACAGCAGCATTGTTGCAGGCTTCATTCAAGAGGACCGGTGTGAAACTCAAAAAAGTAAAGTGGTCATTGTCAGCAAAACCAAGCTCAATGCCAGCACTTGCCTGAGGGTGGAGCTAAGGCTCAGAAAAATTGTACACACACCCCACCTAGGTCCTTACTCTGTAGCTCTAAAGTATGCAATCTATGTGGTACCCTCATTCCATCTCAACAAATGACCAACTTTAAGGTCCCTGTAGACTACTGGCTACTATGAAGACTCTTCCATATATTGCCTTTCATAGTTTGAATCTCTGACCTTCAGTTATTTTCCCTTTGACTTTCTTTATAAAGATGAAAGAGAGAGAAGCTGGAACCAAAAGACAACTATGCTGTGATGATTTGTTATGAATTTCACACCAGTGTCTCCCAGGCATAAGGTACAAATCCACATAAGCGAAGACATAGATCAACTTCAGAACTCAAGTGAAAAACCGAACATGAAACACTCCCGCTTAGAACACACAGCTGCAGAAGTGTGGCATATGAACAATTTGTCACGAAGGAGTTAAAAATCGCAGAGCCTGCCCATTCCCTGTCCTCGGAACCCACACTTGATTCTCCCCTTTCTTGGCTTGCTGCGAATTCCCCTCATCAGGTAAAAATCCAGACCTATCACAGGAAGACTCACTTGCAGTAACTTCTACAAACTCTCATGAGTACAGTTCACACCATACTGTCAAACCCCTTGGAAAGGTTTTGTCATGCACTCTGGTGTATACAGCATAATACAAAAAGGCTGGCCACTGTATTTTAACTATTGTCTCTTCTGCATGTCAAAGGAATTTGGCCAATGTCATTGGCTGCTCTCTAAATCCTTTGAGGTCCTCTAAAATATCACATACCAGTCCCTTAAAATTCCCTTTTTTTGCCACACCTCTAGAGAAAGAGGGTTGCAATGCTTTGAAATGTATTTGGCTAGTGGATAACAATGTTCAGTGATGGGGCTACTAGCCTGTGCTTATTTTGGCATGTTAATAAGTTTGTATGCCATTGGTCTTAGGAAATTATACAATGAGTATCCAGATCTGCTTTTTACCTCAATGCCTCACCTCCCTCATTAGTTTAGTCTTCACTCTCAGCTGTATAAGCATTTTATTTCTTAAGAACCAAAACATCCTCCAGGATGAATAGAATATATGGAGCTCATTCAGGATGCACAGCCTTGGTGCAGTCCTATTATTTAGCAGTCCATGTTTAAATGTTCTATAGTCTCTTCAAATATAACTTTATAATATGCAATGTATCTAATCCAGGGACCAATTAAAGATCATAGATCGATCTTTTCACTTGTATTTAGTAATCTATAATCCAAAAGAGATCTGAAGACATTCATTTACTTTTTGTTTTATTGCTATTTATTTTTTTTAAAGTCCTGTTAGATGCTTTGCTCAGCACATCTTCATGCAGGAATTTCCAGTCTCCTTAATTGTAGGTTCAGGTTAGATATTCATGGTAGGAGTCACACAGGTGATGCTTCGAAAGGCATCATGTAGAGAGGCCCCAAGTTCTCAGTATCTTCTGTATTTGGTGACTGTCCATTCTTCCATTGGATGGAATCGTCCAGGTTTTCCTTTGTGAGTGTATCTTGTCCCTTCCAAAATTAGTGCAAACTGCAAAGGCAGCTATTTAAGAGAAAGAATGTCTCCCTCCAAATCTTTTTATGCCATGGCTTTAAGAAAAGCCAATGAACCTCATTGGAAAGAAATTATTCCTATGATGTTAGTAGAATGACAGTATCTGATTCCCATCACTCTTTCTGTATTTGTTGATTGGAATCCTTTTGTAATGAAGAGATTGAAGAGATTTAATTTCTGTTCTTCCAGATTAAAAAAAAAATGGTTATATTTGTAATTTCACAGACTGTTTAATAATCTTATAACTTATACCATATTTTGACAGTTATTAAATAAAAAGGTATTTAAATTTGTATTTTTCCTGGAAATACTAATTAAGTTTGCTATATACTTTTCCATTAAATGTAAGACAAAACATTCTGTGGAAGAACAATTCTGGTCTTTAGAGAATTCAAATTTGTAATACTTAAGATACTGATGAGCCCAAACCAGGATCCTTAAGTGTAGAAAAGGAGTTAGCTCATACCCACTTCAGCCTTCATTTATTTCAGAGTCTGTGCAGAGATGGGTGAGACACTGCATTGACTACTAATTTCTGGATATTCCCTTTAAATAGCTCAATTTTTTTTCATGTTTTATTTATACATTTTTAGTTTTCTATCAGACATATTAAAAACAAAATTTCTATACTTCTTGAGCCATAAGAAAAAGGGGAATGTCACAATTTTTATTATTTTATTATGTGTCTCTTCGATGACTGTAGCTAACCAGATGCTGAGCTTGTTTACGAACAGGATTCTGGTTTCTATTTACATACACAGATTGAAGAAAATGCCCATACTTAGATCTTAAAGGTGAAAAGCAGCTATCCTTTGTGCTATATGCAGGAGAAATGCAGACAGAAAAGTATTATGTGTCTGTGACATCACCATTAACAAACATTAGTTAAATGCACCATGGGCATGCCCTACTTATTTGTTCATTTGTAAAGTCCACTCCTAGCCACTGTGCTCAGTCTTCTGAGAGCAAAAGGCCCTTGGGAGACTGTCGATGGGCTCCTCATTCATCAGTCCATGGTGGCCTGCTATTGGCTCAGCCTGTGGGAGGGTTCTGTTTGTCACACAGCTACATCCTGGCTAGGACGGACACAGCTGCCCTTAAAAACTAGGGGGTATTTCATGCACAGTTATCAAAAATGCCCCTGTCATTGGTCAACAGAGGGGACAGGATTTCACTAATGCTTAACTTGCAAGTCCATTAGATTGCCAAATGATGTGCCCATACAGCATCTGACACTGTGGGTCAAGGTTACCTGAAAAAGGTTTCTCCAAATATTCACCCTGAAATTTTATGTTCCTTTCTGTTTTCTCAATTCTGAACTTTTAGTTCTGTGCAATAGAACATCTGGGTAACAGTTGCCTGCATTCCAATGCCCTAGAACACACACACACACACACACAAAATGCCATTACTGTAGTACATTTAGACATTATTCTAATGGAGATTATAAATTGTATTCTAATGTTTCTTTTGCAACACAAAACCAAACAAAACTGAAGATGTCAGAGCAAAGCACAAAGACAACCTAAAGATGGCAAACTAAAAATCAGAAAATTACAGGGTCACACCATGGTTGACGGTGCACCACAGCTGATGAAGTTTCATCATGTGGATTTGAATACCACTGTGGAACAAAGAGTGTCTCCAAAAACAAAACAAAATCTATGTATCTTCAAAATCTCAGAACGTGAGCCCATTTGGGTAGGGCTTTTGCCAGATAATTCTTTAAGGGTGTTGTAATAAGATACTTGTGGATTTAGGACAGTCCTAAATCCAAACACTGGAGTCTTTATGAGGGACAGAAAAGGAGGCAATATGAACACCAGGACAAAGAGGAGAAAAGGCCGTAGAGATAGAAACGAACACGGAGTTTAAAGATGTCTGGCTAAAGAATGCCCCAAGTGTCTGAAGCTGGTAGAATCATGCTAGAAGATACCTTCTTTAGGCTCACTTAAGGTAAGAAAACTGAAAAATTGGAACTGGAAAGAGGGCTCAGTGATTAAGAGTATTCCACGCCTTTTCAGGTGATCTCAGTTAGGCTCCCAATACCCATCTGGGCCAGTTCCTGTTTCATGGGTCTGATGCAAAAATTTTTGCATATAGTGTACAGGGACAAGACATTGTCACCCCAAAGCCCATCCCCAGGACCACAACTTCTTCAACAAAGCAGCACCTCCTAATCCTGCTCATACAGTTCCAGCACTTGGGAATTAGGCATTCAAATATATTGGTCTATGGAGGTCATTCTCATTCAAACTACCACATTCTACTCCATGGCCCCCAGAGGCTCCTAGCCATGTCATAATGCAAAATGCATGTATTCCAACCTCAAAATTCCCCATAATATTTCACAGTTTTGACATAGTTTAAAAATTCAAAAAAAAAAAAGGCCAAAGTCTTTTCCAAAACTCAAGGGAATCTCTTAATTGTAAACCCTTATAACATCAAAAAGCAGATTCCATATTTCGAACATAAAGCATGCATTCCCATTCCAAAA